CACAACCCGGGGCATGTGCCCTTGACCGGAATCGAACCTGGGACCCTTCAGTCTGCAGGCCGATGCTCTATCCACTGAACCAAACAGCTAGGGCTTAATAGGAATATTTTTATTTAGCTACTTACACACAGTGCTTCAACCAGCATCTTTGTACACATATTCTAGAGATTGGTGAGGAGAGCACTTAAATTAAGTGGTTGAGGCCTGCAAAAAAATGCAGGCCTGGCCCTAGCTGGTTTGGCTCAGTGGATAGAGTGCCGGCCTGTGGACTGAAGGGTCCTGGGTTTGATTCTGGTCAAGGGCACATGCCTGCCTGAGTTGTGGGCTCGATCCCCAGTGGGGGAAGTGCAGGCAGCCGATCAATGGTTCTCTCTCATCACTGATGTTTCTATCTCTCTCTCCTTCTCCCTTCCAAACAAAAGAAAACACACAGACATTTAGGACTTCTGGGCAAGATGGTGATATAGGTAAACATAGTATTCACATCCTCCAATAACCGTCATTCAGAACCACCTGAAATCTGGCTGAATAGAACTCTTAGAACTAGAGAATTAAAGAATAAGCCAGACAGAGACTGGTAGGAGGGGTGAAGATATGGAACAGGCTCGTTTCACACCCACATGTGGTGGATAAAAATTGGGAGGGATATCTCTGAGGTGCAAGGGATACCAGCCCCATCCCAGGATTCCAGTGCCAGGAAGAGAAGTCACCATAACTTCTGGCTGTAAAAACCAGGGAGGATTGAGGCTGAGGGAGACAGAGCGCTGCTGGAGTCTCAGGCACTTCCTCTTAAAGAACCTGTGTATAGACTTAGTTGGACTCATTCCCTCTGAGCTCTAGGGCTGGGGCAGCAGCCATCTGCAGAGACATATGGGGAGAAACTGAGTTGTCTAGCCTTGGTTCACAGATGGGCCTCACATGGGCACCTCCAAGCTCAGCACAAGTAGCAGCCATCTGCAGATCACTTTGCAACTCATGCTGGTTGGCCCTGTATGAAAGTACCAGTGAGGATTAACCAAAAAAGAAAAGAAAGAAATAGTGTAAATTATGGAGATAATCCCCAGAACTACAGACAGAAGTGGTTATAAGTGTTAACCTCTGGGAAGTGGTACTGGAAATGAGCAAGGATTAGTCAGAGACACAATTTTAATGCCATATAAGTGATTGCTTTGGTAAAAAGAAGTGAGAAAAAAAGTAGTAGTATTGACCAGCAACAGAATTTGTTCCAAGAAGCAACATGACAATCAAATATCCCAGTGAATTCTAGTTCATTGGTTTTTGAAACTTTAGCGCGAAGAAATACATCAGCGATGAGGAAATGCTCGGTGTAATTACAAATATTTCATTACCTAAAATTTAAAATGTAGCCTGTAAGCATTTAAAACTTTCCTAAGTCTGCCCTTAGGCAGGAAAAATAACTAATTTAACTATGATATAGATATTTGAATGCCACTTTTGTTAAGAGAGATCTTGGACTTTTTTGTGAAGTGAGACAAAATGAACTGCTGTGAGGTACTTCTCAAAAGTATAATAAATTTGTTAGACTAATCCAGAATTTAGCCTATTTAATATAACATTTAAGCTCTTTCCTTGTGGAAAAATTTCAACTTATTTTCCCCCATAAGAATACACCCCTTATTTTATAATGCCAATCATTGAAAAATAGCATTTATTATATGAACATTAGCTTTGGATTCATCCATTTCCAAGGTCAGGGACCGCACTCCAGGATAACACCCCATGGGGTTATGTCAGTGTGGTGCTCTGAAGGTACCAACTGAGGTGGGAGGGGGAAGGGATGCTCCCAGGCAGTGCCATGTACTTGTGGTGCCATCCTGGGGTTGTGATGCTAAATTAGAGCATTTTTTATTTTATTTTCTTCTCTCTAGGAAGGCTCTTTTGTCTACTTGTCTTTCATGGGAAACATTGCTGATTCTGATAGCTTCATTGCTTCCTTGTGTAAGTAATTTCAAATATTTACCTTTGAAATGTTTGAGGAGATTTATTCCAAGTGTGACTGTATTAGTACCTGTATCCCATCTTGTATGATTCCATTTATATAAAACTAGAGGCCCAATGCATGAAAATTCGTGCAAGAGTAGGCCTTCCTTCCCCCGGCTGCCAGCACCGGCTTCCCTCTGGCACTGGCTTCCCTCTGGCACCCAGGACTTGGGCTGCTTCCCTCCTCTGGCCGCCCGCAGGCACCCAGAACCCGGTCTGGCTTCCCTTGGTCCACCCGCAGCCACCGGGACCCTGGCTGGCTTCCCTCTGGCCCCGGCTTCGTCAGGAAGGACATCCGGAATGATGTCCGGAAGACGTCCAATCTAATTAGCATTACTACCCTTTTATTATTATAGATGTCCAGAGTAGGTGAATCTATGGGAGACAGATTATAAATTAGTGGCTTCCTAGGAGAGGGTAGGGAACGGATGTTGGAGAGAAATGGAGAGTGACTGATAAAAGATATAGATTTCTTCTGGTGGGTAATGAAATACTCTAAAATTAGATTGTGGTGATTCAAATCTGTGAATTTACTAAAATCCATTTAATTGTACACTTTTATTTTTAAATATATTTTTATTGATTTCAGAGAGGAAGGAGGGGGGAAAGAGAGAGAGAGAGAGAGAGAGAGAGAGAGAGAGAGATATCAATGATGAGAATCATTGATTGGCTGCCTGTTGCACGGGATCAAGCCCACAACCCGGGTATATGCCCTGACCAGGAATCGGACCGTGACCTCCTGATTCATAGGTCGATGCTCAACCACTGAGTCACCATGCTGGGTGAATTGCACACTTTAAATAGGTAAATTGTATTGCACATGAATTATATCTTAATAAATGTATATTTTAAATGTTTATAGTGAGTGCAAGTTGAAGAGTTTGCAGTATTTAAACTGGGTGTTTTTTACACTTTTAATATCAACTTTCAAATACGTCTTATAGGTAATTTCCAAAAATCTTCTTGTTCTACAGAGATATTAACTAGTTTTCTTATATTCCTCATGCTCACTATCAATCAGCATTCAATGAGCTAGTATTGACTACCTCCCATGTACTATGTCAACACTGACAAATATATGAGCTGTGTAACAACAGGGTCCTTTGCCACCATCATCCAGCTGCCTTGCTCAGGATAACTTCTTCCAGATTTTGTGCCTGAAATACCTCACTGTTTATCTCATTTCTTCTATGATTCTGAAATCATATCCCCCAGCCAGGATCTGTGTTGGAACTCCTATTTATCACTAGTGTTAGGAAATTCTGCTAGATAATGGAGCCACAGATAGTGCTTCTTAAAGCCAAACATTGATTTCAGAGAGTTAGGGAGAGGGACAGAGAGAGAAACATCAGTGATGAGAATCATTGATTGGCTGCCTCTTGCAGGATCATCTTTGATGCCTCTCAGGTCCCAGCCAGTAGTAGTAGCTCAAGGAGCCTGAGACCCACACCTGGAGTCCAGCTCCTTCAGGTCCAGCGCTGAGCAAAGTGTAGCTGTGCACCTTTTCGATGAGTGAGCTGGAATAAACTGCCGGGACGCCCAGGGGCTGGAGGACCCCGATCTGTCATTGTCCTCCCATTCTGGCTGCTCTGGCTGGCATCGAGAAAGGGAACAGCCCAGATTTGGCTCAATCCCATGAAATGTAAAGTCTAACTCAGTCTTTCTCAGTCATCTTCAATTTACATTTACATTTTCACCTATAAAAAGTGAAAACTCATCTCATGGGGGTGCCCTTTCTTCTAGAGAATGTGAAAATCCAATAGGTGTGATAAAGTAGTGCATCTTGGGCTTTAAGGAGCACTAATTGCCTGAGGCTTTTAAAATGCAGATTCTGACTCAGAGGGTCTGGGGTAAGGCCTCCCAGTGTTGATCTGTGGACTCTTTTGATTCAGCAGAATGTAGAACTGGGCTGTTAACATTATGTAGATGCTGTAAAAAAATCTTATTCATGACACTTGTTAAAAAATGGTAAGAAAGACTATTCAAGAGGGACCTTCCGTCTGTTCCATTTCCATGCCCCTTATTCTATTCCATTCACCAGTTTACTCTGTTCATCATTTTTTTATTCATTTGATTTTTAGATTCAGCTGTTTATTGATATGTATTTGTTGTCACTCTGTTCATATTTTTTATTCTCAGAGGGAAGGGGGTGGGGGTTCAGGAAGAGATTAGACAGAGATCTTAAATGCATGTATGCATTACCTGTGGACACAGACAATAGGGTGGCGAGGGCCTGGGGTGGGGTGGGAACCGGGTAGAGGGGAACTATGGGGGCAAAAAAGAGGGACATCTGTAATAATCTCAACAATAAAATTAATAAATAAATAATAAATAAAATCACTAAAAAAAAAGAAAAAAGAGGGACCACCGCAGGGGAGGGCTTTGCATTAGGAGAGAGATCAGGTTCAACTCCAAATACAGCAAGGAGAGGTGGAGATTTATGGCCAAGGTGGGGTTAGTGGATGGAAAATTACTAAGAAGAAACATCAAGCCTAGGATTATTCATGGTAGCCCCACTACTAGGATTCTTGCTGAAGGCAGGCGGGTGTGAGAAGATACAGAGGGTGGGGGATAAGGAATTTGATCAGATGTCTGCATCCCCATGTTTATTGCAGCATTGTTTACAATAGCCAGGACATGCAGGCAACCTAAGTGCTCATCACTGGTGAGTGGGTCGAGAAAATGTGGTGTATATGGAATATTTTTCAGCCATTTAGGAAGAAGGAAAACCTGCCGTTTGTGGCAACGTGGATGGGCCTTGAGGGAGTTATGCTGAGAGAAATAAGTCAGACAGAAAAAGACACATACTGTATGATCTCACTTTTACGTGGAATCTAAAAAACAAACAAATAAACAAATCCAAACTCCCAGGAAAAGAGATCACATTTGTGGTTACCAGGGGCAGGGGGTAGAGGGTGGGAGAATTGGACGAAGGTGATCAAAAGATACAAACTTCCAGTTGCAAGTTAAATAGTACTAAGTATGTAGTGTACAATGCGATGTCTATAGTTAACACTGCTGTAAGTTGTTAAGACAGTAAGTCAATCCTAAGAGTTTTCATCACAGGGAAAAAACAAAAAGTCATTTTTTTCTTTTTTTCAATCTATATGAGATGAGGGATGCTAATCATCTCACAACATAGGTAAGTCAGGTCATTATGCTGTACACTTACACTTCCACAGCGCTGTGTGCCAACTGTATCAATAAAACTGGAACAGAAAGATACCAAGAAGGGGGACTTTTACTAAACTGACTCTGCCGCTCTTGCTAAAACGACTAAGGCCAAGGACAAAGCCCAAGTTCGAGGCCCTGTTGAGAAGAAGCTCAGAGGAGTCAGAAAGTCTTTGTTGCCCCTATCACCTCCGAACCTCCGCTCTGTGGGAAGGGCATGGCTGTGGCTTGGGTCCGGGAGACCTACTCCAGCCTTCCGTGTGCATCCTTTCCTCTAAACCTGGCAGCCAGTCACCAAGTAAGTGGTAATGATCACAGCATTAGGCTTGTTAATGCTGTAATTAACCAGCAAAGACATGGTTAAGGTTAAGCAGTAGATGAGGAGATACCAGAGGCTTGATATGCTGGGACAGATAGGTAGCAAGGCCTGCTTTTACTGTCCAACTCCCTGCCTTCCGCTCAGCATTAACCTTGGCTCCCCGCTTCCTCCGCCCCCTTCCCGAAGTATTCTTCAGTTTTGCTGAATTAAATATAGGTTTAGACACACCACGTTCTCTCAGCTCCAGGCTTTTGCACATGCTTCTCCCTGACATACCCTTCCCCTTCGCCCAGTTCGGGAGTCACCCCGTGTGGGGTAAGGCCTGAAATGAAGGTCCAGTGTCATGTGTGCCTTGACATCTGGTAAAATCCAGAGGGCCCCAAATGGCCTACCTGCAAGTCCCTTCCCCACCCTGCTTTCTCATATCAGGCCCCTCAGCCAAACGACCTTCTATGTGGCGGGGACCAGGCACAGTGCCTACCATCCCTGAGTAGTGGGCTTCCGTTCCCTGCCAGCCCTCGGAATTATTCAAACGGGCAATCACCTCCTGCCACAGGGACCAGAGGTCATTCCATCCTCTTGTTACTACACAGCCTGCCTCTGCCAGCCCCTCCTTGTCATTCCATTTCCAAGTGCAGCCCCACACGGCCCGCATGACGCAGTGCCCTCCTCCCCAGGCTGGGAGTGCATGTGGCTAAGAATCGGCCATCAGTCTCACCTGCCCAGCGTCATGTGTAGTGTACTATGTCATCCCCATGACGCTAGGGGGGAATCCTTCCCTCACCCACAAGGTGAGAGGCAGTGATCAAAACACCTCACCTCCCTCGTCTGGCTTAGCTGCCACTTCCTCCATGTGCCCACACTCTGTCACCATCACTCATTGCATGGCTTGACCTCACTAAACGTGAGCCACTTGCAGCAGGCGTTGTGTCCCAGTCGTTGCTGGCACAGAACCTTCCGTGTGCTCCAAAAGATTTGTTGAATTAAAGAATGAATGAATGGTGTTATATTTCTGAATGTCTAAACACCCACTAACCTCTTAGATCCTAAAGCATTGACATTTTACTTGTGATGTTTTCTTAGATTTTTGGATGCATAGAGGGTACATTTTGCCTATTGTATATATGTTTAAATTTAGAGGAAAATTTTTTGCTTTCACTATTATGTTGTTTTCTAGTTAGTTCATAGCTGGCAGTTGGCTGAGGACAAGCTGACAGGCGCTGCCTGGCCTGCTGTGTCTGTGTGTTATTCCATTAAATAGCTAATCCTGTTTCCTGGCCATCCCTTCTCTCAGAATAGCCCTTCATTAGAACCCTTTTGTCCCTGGCCCCCAATGGATCCTAACTCTGGCCAGTAAGAGACTAGGGCAACGGTTCTCAACCTGTGGGTCACGACCCCTTTGGGGGTCGAACGACCCTTTCACAGTGGTCGTCTAAGACCATCGGAAAACACGTATATAATTACATATTGTTTTTGTGACTAATCACTATGCTTTAATTATGTTCAATTTGTAACAGTGAAAATACATCCTGCATATCAGATATTTACATTACAATTCATAACAGTAGCAAAATTACAGTTATGAAGTAGCAACGAAAATAATTTTATGGTTGGGTCACCACAACATGAGGAGCTGTATTAAAGGGTCGCGGCATTAGGAAGGTTGAGAACCACTGGACTAGGGCTTTGTGCGGCTCAGCCCAATCAGAACATGCTGCTAATTTTTGACCATTCATACCTTTTTTAAATAATGCGAGAACAGATTTAAATGGAGAGAAGTGGGAACGTTTGGTTTTTTTACTTTGATTATTTGAGATCTTAGGACCAGAATATTTTACAGAGAGAAAGAGAGAGAGAGAGAGAGAGTGTCAAGAAAGGAGAGAGGAACAGAGGGGGGGAGGAGGGAGGGAAAGAGAGAAAGAAAGAAGGAAGGTAAAAAAAAGAAAGGAGGGAGGAAGGGGAATATGGCCTCACCCAGTGCCTGGCTCTCAGTCTGACTCTAAAGGCTTGCACACCTCATGGTGATTTCTAAAGAACCATCTTGACAGCAGGGTCTGGAAAATTTCTTAGGGCATGCCCACTCCCCCATCTGCACAATTGAGGATTTGGTGGTAGTTATTAGTGAATCTGTCCCTGTAGCAAACTGAAATGCCTCTTTTGTCCATTTTGGATTCATTCTGTAGTCCAGGCTGTATTATTCCCCTCCCTTTCCTTCTGTCCACTTCAGCCCTTAATTTCCTTCAATTATTAATAAACATATCCTTAATAATAACTTTCCGATATTTAAATTATACTTACAGACCTTATATTTAAATTTTAAAGTAAGGAATTATATTGTATTTACAAGATAATTATTAAAGACTAGAGGCCCGGTGCATGAAATTTGTGCATGGGGGTGTGTCCCTCAGCCCATCCTGCACCCTCTCCAATCTGAGATTCCTCTCACAATCCGGGACTGCTGGCTCCCAACCGCTCGTCTGCTTGCCTGCCTGATTACCCCTAACCGCTTCTGCCTGCCAGCCTGATTACCCCCTAACCACTCCCCTGCCAGCCTGGTTGCCCCCAACTGCCCTCCCCTGCAGGCCTGGTCCCCCCCAATTGCCCTCCCCTGCAGGCCTGGTCCCCCCCAATTGCCCTCCCCTGCAGGCCTGGGTCCCCCCCAACTGCCCTCCCCTGCAGGCCTGATCACCCACAACTGCCCTCCCCTGCTGGCCATCTTGTGGTGGCCATCTTGTGTGTTGGAGTGATGGTCAATTTGCATATCGCCTCTTTATTATATAGGATTGTCTTTGCAAAATCTGATTATGTTGAATTAATATAGAATTCTGCTACTTATAATGGAAAGGGGGGGCAAAGAGGGCACACATGTGAAAACACTTTGCAGACTGTAAATTATTTTAACAATCCTATATAATAAAACCCTAATATGCAAATCGACCGAACGGTGGAATGACTGGTCGCTATGAACTGACCACCAGGGGGCAGATGCTCAACGTAGGAGCTGCCCCCTGGTGGTCAGTGTGCTCCCACAGTGGGAGCGCCACTCAGCCAGAAGCCGGGCTCATGGCTGGCAAGTGCAGTGGAGGTGGCGGCAACCTCCGTGGCAGCACTAAGGAGCAGCGAGCTGAACAGTAGGGAGCAGCAAGCAGGTGGGTGGTAAGGAGCGAGGGGTCCCAGACTGTGAGAGGCCACAGGCTTGGCTGAGGGACCCCACCCCCACCCCCAGTGCACGGATTTTGTGCACCGGGCCTCTAGTATAACAATATTGTTATTGTTACTTGTGTTAGGTGGCAAATGCATTTCGTCTCAGGGCTTCTCTTGCCGTCCACTAAGGCATTCTGAAGAATGCAGAGAGAATGGTAGCTATTCCTTTTATCTCATCCTAAAGGTGGGGAGGGGGGGAAAGGGTCATTTCCATTGACTGTCATAAAAAGGATAAGTAACAAAGTGTGCTTTGTTTTTAGGGAAAGAATATGGCAAAGCTGATGCAAGATGGGTTAATTTTGACCCAACCATTGTGTCTGTGGAAATTCTGACTGTTGTCCTGGATGGGTCTCTGGCATTGGTCCTCATGTACGCCATAGTCAAAGAGAAATATTATCGGTAAGTAAAGAGGAGAAACATTAGCAGTCCCAATGCTTACGTGACATTTAAAGGAGATTATGATCACATTTCTTTCTTTGTCAGACAAAAAGTAGAGTAGAAACAAAAATTGTTTCTTATTAGATAAGGATCATGGTGCCAGTAGGACCATTTCAAACAGTTCAAAATAAAACATCTGAGAAATATGATTGAGGCACTATATAGGCAAGCCTGGTGTTAGCAGCACTGGATGATTTGCACCGATATTCTGGAGGATAGGGTAATATTTCCATCCTCTCCCCCATCCCCAAATCACTCTAGAAAACTCCTATTCCACTTGCTACAAAGTACATTCTCTTGTGTGATTCTGAGTTAGACATGCCAGATAAGTAAGAAATCTTTCTAGGGTATTGAGGATATGAGGAAGGCAGAAGCATGGGGAGAGGAAGGAGAAAGGTGGATGACTCACCATCCATCAGTCAGACTCTGAGACTTTCAACCACCCTTCCTCCCTTTTCCTTCCTTTCCTCCTTAAGGACAGAGTGACCTGGGGTAAATAGATTGCTAACCTGGGGATGATTCCCTGAAACAACGTCAGGAGGTGCAGTTACATTCAGTGTTCTACTGTCTTGTATTGAATAAGTTTTATTTATTTAAAGCTTCCTCATAAAATTTCAGATTTGAAAGAGACCTCAAGGGTCATTTAATCCACTTTTCCCCCACACAATTTTACATAGATTCTCAGCAGAAAAAATTAAATTTCTCCTCGGTACCTTGACATGTCTTTGACTCCAGAGTCTTGATTGTAGACTTACTACATGCACCCATTTGTTTATTATTTCAAACATTTATAATATCTGCATTGTTGAGTATTTACTTTGTGCCAGGCAAGGTGCTCAGCCTTTTATCTACATGTCTCATTTTTTAATAATACTCATATTTTAAAATATATATATATATATATTTATTATTTCAGAGAGGAAGGGAGAAGGAGAGAGAAATAGAAACATCAATGATAAGAGAGAATCATTGATTGGCTGCCTCCTGCGTACCCCACACTGGGGATCAAGCCTGCAACCCAGGCATGTGCCCTGACAGGGAATTGAACCGTGATCTCTTGGTTCACAGGTCGATGCTCGACCACTGAGCCACACTGGCTGGACCATATCTCATATATCTCCAAAAGGTTATGTGAGAAAGGGACTGTTATCCCTTTTACAACAGGTGAAATTGTAGCTCACAAAGAGATTCACATCCAGGTCTCATTGAATCTCCCTAAGAATAGAAGAGGATACCCGAGAGACCTTATTGAACTCTGAGAATAGTCTTCTAGAGAGGACAGTGCTGCTTCTTCAAGGAAAACGTGGGTCTTCATTGATTAGATTGACTTGCCCTGTAAAGGAGCACCACATGGAAGCTGAAGTCCACCTTCAGAGAGGTTTTCTGTCCTGGAAGACTGTGTTGATGCTGTCATCACTCAGGGTGCCGAGCTGGCGGTTTCATCCCTAGTTTCTTTCTCTTTAACAGGCACTTCATACAGATTACTCTGTGCGTGTGTGAATTGTATGGCGGGTGGATGACTTTCTCCCCGGAGTGGCTTATGGGAAGCCCCAACCTCAACACCAACAATTGGCTCTACTTTTGGGTCTACCTGGCATTTTTCAATAGTGTGTGGGTTCTGATCCCAGGACTGTTACTGTGGCAGTCGTTGGTAGAACTCAAGAAAATGTATCCCAAAGGGACCAGCTTAGGGAAAAAGTTCCAATGAATTTTCAAAAATCATAAACATTATTTTCTAGCTTTATGAGCCAGACTGGATTAAACCTTTTTGTTTTGATAAAATTTAATACATTCCAGTCTACAATTTCTTTTATATTGTTATTCCTAAACAACCGACTTCAAATTGATTGTAAGATGGCAAGATTTAGTTGTTGATTTATTTTTCCAGTTAAATGGCAATATAGGGAACAGAGAATAAATTTTAACTTGTAATAATCACATAGTTAATTAAACATTTTTATATCTAAGATTAATTGTGCTATGTTAATAAAGCCAATAATCACAAAATACTGTAGAGCATGTTATATTAATTTTTTTCCAAAGAACATGTTGTTGCTTCAACTTTTAATATTATTAGTCATTGTTTCCAAAATGAAACCAGCAATGAAATAAATGCTTCTAATTTATATTTTATCAAACTTGTGAAGCCAACAAAAATGACAGCAGTTCGAATTGGTGAGGGGGCCAACTCCTTATGAGTGACATTGGAGTTTCACATAGACAAATGATTGATTTTCAAGAAGGAAGATTTGAGTTACCTTACAAAAATACATAGTACAGCCCGTCCACTTGTTCCCAACATCAGACCAGTCTTGCAGCTAAACTTGGCTTAAAAAAAAAACAGCTGAAGTGTAGCTGGTCTGAAATACTGTAGGCAGGGAATGTGGAGAAAGGACAGAAGGGAACATGGAGAGGGTGAGTCAGTTCGCACACCTGCGCAATGTGGGGCAGGCAGGGCGGGGAAGGTGCAGCGGCAGAGCCACCACCACCTCCACCTCCCCATCCCCCGGGAGGTGGATTCTCAGCCCCACACAGGGATCCCCAATCCAGAGCAACAGAGAAGGAAAGGGGAGCCCATGTCGATTGGGCAGTGGGAATCAGTGGGGATTCGGGCCGGTCCACCTGGAAGTCTCAGACCACACCATCCCAGGCAAAGAAGGATTTCTTTCTTACAACATCAGCCTGGGAAGATCCTTGCAATTCACGTGTGAGGGAGGGACCACGTGGCAAAGATTGGGGCTGGCGGAGGGATCTATTTGGTACACCCAGCAGTGAATCTGAGCAGCCCTTTGCTCTCCGGGAGAACTTTGGGCAAAGTGGAAGGGGGCTGGACAGCGTGGCTTGGGAAAGACGATCAGTCTTGCACAACTTGAGCACACGGGTAGCAAACCTACCCCCACCTGCAGAACAGCTGGGTCTTCCCCATTCTTCTGCGACCCGGCAAAGGGGAAGGCCTCTGGGCTGAAAATTTGTACTCCTACGACTGGGTCTGAGGGTGCAAAGGACTCAGCTATTTGGCCGGTGGGAAACTGGGTGGAGGCCCCTCCGAGCGAGGGTCAGACACGCTGAAAGACTGGAGTGCCATGCCAGGCTGATTTTATATTTTTAGCCCCTCCTGCTTGGTGTGTCAGCGAGGAGGTACCAGGAAGCCAAACAGAGCTGAGGCATTGCAACCGGAATGGGCTATGGACTGGGAGATAGACGGCCATGTCCTGGGCCCTTCAGCTGCATTAGGGGGAACCGAGCTGAGCTCCCCAGGGAGTTCAGCCAGCACAGTCCTAGGAAGGAGAGAAAGTGCCCTTCCCCCCTGCTACAAGCTATGGGCACCACCCGCAGTACAAGTCTGTTTAAACCAAACCGGCCAGGTCTTGGAAACCACCGCAGAGCCCAGTTCTGTGGGGGAAGGGAGAGAAGCTGCGAACAGGGGCATTCAATGTATGAGACCCCAAGAAGACCCAGCCTCGGCTATGGAAGCCCTGCCCACCAGACTAGTTGGGGCTCTGCACTGATGAGCTTCAGACAGGTTGCCAAGGGCCAGGCAGAGACAGCAACTCTCATTGGCTTGCACCAGAGAACCTCTGGGAGGCCCAGACACGCACACCAAGAGGCCAGACTGAGACAGCATCGGAGTAAAATCCAGCGAGTTCCACAAATAGCAGACCCAAAGGGTAATCACAGTGAGCCCCCAAGTCAGCGGAGACTAACTCCACTTATTTTTATTATTTTATCTTTTTAACTTTTTTTATTTTTTTCTTTTGTATTTCATTTTCTTTTAGTTTTTTCCTTCTTTTCCTTTCATGTCTTTTATTTCTCTTTCCATATATTCTGGTTTTTTCCTCTTTTTTCATTTTTTACCTTTGTTTTTTTCTCCCTATTTTTCTGTTCCTATTATATATTTTATTTATTATTATTATTTTTAAAATTATTATTGTAGTTATTGTTTTCTTTTTTATATTCTTATTCTTTCTCTTTCCTCTTCCTTCTTTCATGTTCTCCTTTTTGGTTTCTTTTTTTTCATCTCTAATTCTTTTGCTCTTTTGTCTTTTAGTATTCTATTTATTATTATTATTTGTGGTTGTTTTTGTTGGTGGTGGTTTGTGTTTTTTTGTTTGTTTGTTTTCACATTGTTTTCAGTTTGGTCTTGTTTTGCCTGGTTTTGTTCTGTCAGCACTTGTATAACAGTTGTCAAAAGGGGTCAGTGTTGAGCCTCACAGTCAGCCAGCCTGAATGTGTCAACAGCAATTAAGACCCAAATACAACAGGAGGGCCCACATAAGCCATACAAGGGACATTCCATGAGTACCCATCTCAGAAGATTAAAGAGACTACACCACTGGGTCCCACAAGACACCCACTACAGAAGGCCACCACACCAAGATGGGGAGTTATAGCAGTCCTATCCAATACACAGAAATGGGGAGACAAAGAAACATGACCCAAATGAAAGCACAGGAGGAATCACCAGAAAAAGAGCTAAAGGAAATAGAGGCAAGCAATTTATCAGAAACAGAGTTCAAATTAATAGTTTTAAGAATACCCAACAGCATGAAAAGGGACATAGAAACCATGAAAAACAACCAATCAGAAATGAAGAATGGCACAGCTGAAATAAAGAATACACTGGAAGAAATAAAGAATAAGAGGAAGCTGAAGATTGAATCAGCAAATTAGAAAACAGTGTAGAAAAAAAATCACTCACAGCAGCAAAGAGAAGAAATAATTTAAAAGCATAAGGATAATTTAAGGAAACTTTGGGACAGCATGAAACAACAACATCGGCATCATAGGAGTAACAGAGGGAGAACAAGTGAGCAAAGGATAGAGAACCTGTTTGAAGAAATAATGACGGAAAATTTCCCTAATCTGGTGAAGGAAAAAGTCATACAGGTTCAGGAAGCACAGAGAGTCCCAATTAAGATGAACCAAGACACATCATAATAATAAAAATGGCACATGTTAAAGACCAGGAGAATCTTAAGGCCAGCAAGAGAGAGCAGTCAGTTACCTAAAAGGCAGATCCCATTAGACTGTCAGCTGATTTCTCAACAGACACTACAGGCCAAAGGGAATGGCATGAAGTATTCAAAGTAATGAAAAGCAAGGATCTGAAACCAAGACTACTCTATCCAGCAAGGCTATCATTCAAAATTGAAGGTGAAATAAAGAGCTCTGCAGACAGAAAAAGGCTAAAAGAGTTTATTATCACCAAACCAGCATTGCAAGAAATATTAAAGGGACTGCTGTAAGAAGAAGAAATTGAAAGAGAGAAAGGAGCCGAAACTGGTTTGGCTCAGTGGATAGAGTGTCGGCCTGCGGACTGAAAGGTCCCAGGTTCGATTTCGGTCAAGGGCATGTACCTGGGTTGCGGGCACATCCCCAGTGGGAGATGTGTAGGAAGCAGCTGATCGATGTTTCTCTCTCATCGATGTTTCTAACTCTCTATCTCTCTCCCTTCCTCTCTGTAAAAAATCAATAAAATATATTTTAAAAAAAAAGAAAGAGAGAAAGGAACAGAGGCATAGAGAATAAAAATGGCAATAAATAAGTACCTATCCTATATAATAAAAGGCTAATATGCAAATTGTTCCCTTCAGGAGTTTGACCGACCAGGAGTTTGACCACTCACTATGATGTGCACTGACCACTATGGGGTGGCGCGGAATGAAGGAAGGCCCTGGCTGGCAGCTGGCAGCTAGGGGAAGGAAGGAAGCCCTGGCCGACAGCCAGAAGGCCCTGATAGGCCCTGATCACCGGCCAGGCCTACAGACCCTACCTGTGAACAAATTTTGTGCACCGGGCCTCTAGTCAATATTAACATTAAATGTAAATTGATTAAATGCTCCAATAAAAAAGATATAGGGTAGCTGAATGGATAAGAAAACATGATATATATATATATATATATATATATATATATATATATATATGTATATATTGTCTATAAGAGACCCACCTCAGAACAAAAGACTCCCACAGGATAAAAATGAAAAGGATAGAAAAAATTTCAATGCAAATAGAAATAAAAAAAAAAAAAGCTAGGGTAGCAATACTTATATATGACAGAGGAGACTTTAAAACAAAGGCCATAAAAGAGACAAAGAAGGTCACTACAGGATAATTAGTGATGTTGAGCATTTTTCCATATGTCTCTTGGCCATTTGTATGTCCTCTTTGGAGAAGTGTCTATTCAGGTCCTCTCCCATTTTACTGCCATTTGACCTAGTGATTCCAATATCCTAAGAAGCCAGAAACACCAATCTGAAAATATATATGCACCCCTATGTTCATAGAAGCATTATTTACAATAGCTAAGATCTAGAAACAGCCCAAGTGCCCATCAATAGATAAATGGATTAAAAAACTGTGTACATTTACACAATAGAGTACTATGCAGCTATAAAAAAGAAGGATCTCTTACCCTTTGAGACAACATGGAGTGGACTGGGGAGTACTCTGCTAAGCAAAATAATCCAGTCAGATAAAGTAAAATATCACTTGATCTCACTATATGTGGAATCTAATGAACAAAATAAACTGATGAACATGCATCTGTTGCTGATGCATGTAACAGAATGACAGGTCTCAGAGGGGAAGAAGTTGGGGTGGACGGGAAGAGATTAACCAAAGAACATATATGCATATATGCATAGTCCATGGATACAGACAATAGTGTGATGAAGGCCTGGGGTGGGTAGGGGTTGGGTGCAAGGGGGCAAGATCGGGGAATGGGGGACATTTGTAATACTGTCTACAATTAAAAAAATACATGCCCCAGTTGGTTTGGCTCAGTGGATTATATATTTTGGTTTGACCTGTGGACTGAAGGATCACAGGTTCAGGTCTGGTCAAGGGCATGTACCTTGGTTGTAGGCCAGTGATAGCGAACCTTTTGAGCTCAGCGTGTCAGCATTTTGAAAAACCCTAACTTAACTCTGGTGCCGTGTCACATATAGAAATTTTTTGATATTTGCAACCATAGTAAAACAAAGACTTATATGTTTGATATT